TTAGATAGGGCAAAGGGGAGGAAGGGGGAAGGGAGGAGGCATGGGGATAGGAAAGATGGTGGAATGAGATGGACATAATTACACCAAGTACATGTATATAGACGAGAATGATGACTCTACTTTGTAAACAACCAGTCATGAAAAATTGTGCTCTATGTGTACTATGAATTGAAATGCATTCTGCTGTCATTTATAACAAATTACAGAAATAAATACATTTTTAAAAAATGGTGCTTTATGCTGTTGTTCTTCTGCCCTTCTTCCCCAGTAGAGTAGGTACCAGTAAATATTCCCTAATGTGCTAAAAGTATCTATAATTTCATAAAACCTCAGACCCYTTTCCCAACAAAACATATATTGGGTTATGGTAAATACTATAAGGATAATAAGGGATAGAAAATAATATATAGGATACAAAGAGACAGACTTGATAAAATCTGAGCAAAGGCTGAATACTAGGATGAAACCAATGGGACCTATGAAGAAGCATTCCCTACAGAGRAAACGTCCAAGTACAAAACTTCTGAAGCAAAAATGTGCTTGGCATAGCAAAGGCACAGCAAGAAGGCTATAAGTGTAATTGAATCATCCTTAGGGGCAGAATGTTGTACAAGTCAAAGAGGCTGCCACAGCCAGAAGATGCAGTGTTTTGCAGGGCAGCATCATTGTTCAAACAATGAGGCTGAATACCACCCAGAATATAAAAGTATTCAATATTGAGAGAGGTCAGAAAGATCTAAGAAAGCTTGCAAAGAGCAGATAAAATGAAACCAGGAAAGTGTTCAAGAAGCCAAACCCACTAATAAAGAAATGTCACATTTTCTCCAACCAAATTAGCAGTCTATAATAATCAATGCTTTATGAGAGTGATGAGACAAGCATTTTCATGCACTGAAGATTGAATGCACTCTGTACAACACATTATGAAATCAATTTATCAAAACCAATAAAAAATCTATAAGGTACACATATTTTTAAATCTTGTGCTGTGCTTGTGAGAAACTGTTTAATTAAAAAACACTAAAAACACACAAATTCATAGCATTTCCACTGATGTTTTAAAAATAGTGGTGCTGTACATAAACAAATTCTTATTTTCTGAATATGTGCCCAAATGATAGTGGCTCTCTAAGCCATCACCCTTCCTTCCTTCCTTCTTCCACATCCAGCTTCACCAGCCCTCTTGAACTGAAGTATTACATTCCATTTCCTTTTTGTTGTGTAGTACTAGGGATTGAACCCAGGGTCCAAGCGTTGAAACTGAGCTACACTCCCAGCCCTCATTTCCTTTTTGAAAAGTCACAATTATACTTCTTTTCATGAGATTGTGGTAAAACAGAATCATAGCCCTTAAGGACATAAAGAACCTCCAAGTGAGAGTAATGATTCACTGGGCAATGAACAAAGTAATTTGTCTCCTGATGCTTCCACATAACACAGGTGACTGAATAATCCCAATTACTCATGAAGCAAGTATTTACCTGAACCTCAAAATTTAGGGAAACGCTTGTCTTCTTAAATCCATATGTAAATAAAATTAAACAGAAATTAGAATTAAAATATCTATTCATTTTTAAAAATAGTGTTTCCTATTACTCCTCTAATTCAAAGAGCATTTATTGAATATGCAATGTGCTAGGAACTAAGAATGCAAAGTTGAATGACAGAATTTAACCATGGCAAAGGGAAGATAAGTAGCAAAACATCTAACATGGGAATAATGTTGTTGGAGCCTTTTAGAGCTAGTCTTTCTCTGATCCCAAGTACTTTGTTCATTTCTCTTCTTGCATCAGGGATGCTAACTCCTATAACACTTAAGCTATATTGAACAAGCAGGAATTCACCACTGAAGCAAGGAAAAGGCAAGCACATGTGCAAAGGAACTTGAAAAAACAAGTTTTTCTTAAGAGATAAAAGGCATAAAGTAGAAAAATTATAACTGGAAATTAAAAGGAAAACAATTTAGTAGGAACTGTTACAAAGGATTAGACGTATGGTACTGTGAGGGTTTCTACATGGAACTCCTTGAATTGTAACCTAAAGAATTTAGAAAGACCAATTCACCCTACCTATCAGAATCATCAACCTCCATTTTATAGTTTAGGGGTACAATGGCATAAGGATCATTGGTTAAAGTGTTTAAGTAACTGCTGTATTATATTCTCCCGAGTCATTTTTTTAAATGAATAAAACATGGTAATCCCTTCTCAAACCTATCATTAAGGTGGCTGTCATGAGCCCTTTAAGTGTCCCACTGAATATAAATAAAAAGTAAAAAGAGTTGGGGATGAGGTTCACAGTATAGGATCCCAGTATTGCTAAAAAAAAAAAAAATAATAAAAATTTCAACTTCATATAGTACTTAATCCTAARAATATATAAAAAGGGGTGGGGGATCATGTGCATCCTTAAAAACTATACTTCTCTACTCAGTTGCAGTGAAAAATATGAATATGCAGATAATAAAAAGCTGGCAGTTACTGAATGTAAGAGCATGTTAAGTGCATTATAAATTATTCCCATCTTTTAATAATCCCCTTTACAAAAAGGGAACCGAGTCACACAGGTCAAGTAAYTTGCAGCATATAACAGTAACTTCTGAACTTGGTAGCTGATGGAAGAATTAGATGAACAGAGACAGAAATAAATAGGTATGAAAGATARTCAATTTTAAAATATACAAAGTGGGGGACATGTAAATTTAAGCTGACTTCAATTTGGTGCACAGTAGCCCACTAAGACCCATCAGAAAACATAAGACAGGAACTCCAGTTGATCCAAGTTTTGTTGCTTTTGGAYGTGGTGGTGAAAAATGAATTTCAAATACAATAATCATCCACTTAAAGGCAACCCTCTAGAAAGTGAATTCCCCCGTTCCAGATGTTAAGCATTCAGAGAGATCCAAATCCAGGTCTGCTTAGACAAAAGCAGTACCTATTTCCTATCCTATTAGGAGAGAAAACTATAGGCCACCAATTAGGCTCTTTTCTACAACCACAGCATTTGCTAAATAGGCTACAAAAAGGAAGATGGTCAAGTCCGGAAGCATGTACAGAACACTACTTAAAAGCAGTTACAAATACAAAATAATACCCTGCATCCCACCAGATCATAATGGAATAAAATTAAAAGCAGCTACAAACACAGTTAAGTACAAACTACATTAGCAGAACTAGAAACATGTGGCAAACCTAGTTAGAAATAAAACAGACTGGGGCTAAGAAAAAACAATTTCAGGAATACCAATATTTCAWGGATGAAGACTAATGGAGTAAAAACGCACAAACCCAGGTAAATATAGTTAAGTTGGGTAAACTGAATAGTGCTGTCGTTTAATGGGTCTCTTCTGAAATTCATGCTGAAACTCCTTCACAAGAAGTCCTTGGGAAATCCTAGGAAAAGAGCCTAGACTTTCCTCTCCTGAATACAATGGCTAGAGAAACTAGCCCAACCCCACTGGCTACTAATTTTTCTCTTCTGGACTTGTCCCCCCARGAGAATAACAGCAAAAAGAAACCAACTTCAAGTGCAGACCAAGAGGAAAAAAAAAAGAAAACAAAACCTAAGTGCAGACCAGGACCTTAAACACAAAACCTGCCAGCATCTGGACTTGGGACTTCCCAGTCTCCAAAACTCTGAAAAATTTTGTTTACAAAATTAGTAAAGTCTGTATTATTTTGTTACAGTAGGAGAAAGACAAATGTTTTTACACTATTGTCGAAATCGATTCATAACTAGTAACACCCAAAGAACAGGTTACTATTTTTTTTAAGGAAGTTGGCTTCAAAGGTAAATTCATAATCCTTAAAATCAAGCTATTTATAATTATAACCAATCAACTTTTCCTAAGCTTAACTGTAATTACAGTTTTCCTTTCACTTATTTTGTGTATCTTTCTTCAAGGTAATTTAGAGACCAAGCAACTAAATTTCATAAATAATCTTTGGCCATTTCTTAATCAATTGAGTATATACTTGATACACCACCATAATTCATTTCACATTATTTTGCAATAAAAATACTAAATTTGAACGGCAGAGAAACAACACAAACAAACTGGGACACAATTAAATACACACTTCTGCTCAATTAAAAAAAAAATTTTTGTAGTCCACGGGCCTTTAATTTTTTTTTTTTTACATTTATTATGCCATGAATTCATAGGGAATAGGTTCCAGCAGTTCAGGCTCCTTTCCATTTGTTCTCACAAAATGTGCTTCTCTGGGTGGGGCRGGCTATTGAAGGGGAAAAGAGAAAATAAACTTTAAATATACATTCAATTCTTAAACTCCAATAAAAAATATCTGAGCAACAGTTTTAATAGTTCCCCAAGATTAATACCAATAAACCCTGCCAAGTCAAGCTCTCACCTGGCGCTTCAGCTGAACCCAGGTACCTTTCTCTTTGGCTTCCTTCTTTTTCTGATCATTTTCCTTCACACGTTTCAGGAAGCTGTCTCGGCTCTTAGAGTGCTTAATATGCTCAATACGCACATTAATTCTCTTGGCAAGAATCTTGCCCCTGGTGAGAGCAGAAATTCTCATAAGTGTTTCATCTAAAACACAACAGCAATGCAGAAAATGGTTTTGACAATTCCACTTGTTAGATGAATCTTTTACTCCGAATAAACCAACAAGGTTATGATGGCTTGATTAGTTTTTCAATTATTGATCTACTTGGAAGAGGCCTTGAAGTAAACAATCCTTTTGTTTTCTTTTTTTAGTACATTAAAGTTATATGTATTGAATTTCGATTTATTACAATCAGTCCCAGGTGCCCTGCTCATTTTCTATCCTCACCTTATTCTCCTTCCTTTACTGGTATTCTTTTTCCTCTAACCACCCCTACTTTGACGCTGTTGTGATGAGGTGACAGCCTCTAAACCACTAGTTGAACCAAAATCAAATCACTAGTATAATTTAAAACTTAATAAACTTATGTTATAAAACTAGAAYTGCTTCATACCAGATTGTGTAGGACCTTCCAGGAAATCTATTTCAATTTGTTTCCTCTGACAGGTTACATGACAGACACTCAGTCTGCCTGAGTTTTAAGAGGATACTTCCTTTGCCCCTCTTGAATGACCAATAAAGACATAAGTCCAATTGGCAAAGTGAAAGGGGTGGGGGTATATGAATACGACTTAATCACAAAGAACTATACCATTCATTACTTACTTAACTTGCTTATTCACAACAATGCCAACAGCATGCTGGGTAACATTGTAGACTCTCCCAGTTTTGCCATGATAACATTTGTGGGGCATTCCTTTTTGAACAGTACCCATTCCCTGGATAAGATAGGAGACAAATGTTATTCCAGCCAACTCCTCCTTACTCTTAAACTTTAATTTCTTACTGAAGTAAATAAGATGTCGTAAAATTTCCTTTAAATGGCATCTTGAGCTTTCAGAGCCGGTGAAATGTGTTTTTCACATTGCTTCAAGCAATCAAAAAGACAATCATCATTAAGCTCAAGAGCCAGAACATATTTAAATACTGATCACAAAAGAATATAGTTCTCACTGGAGTTTCCATAAAAACAACAATCTCCATTTTAATAAATTTTATACTAAGGCATTCCTTTTCACTTTGATATAAACACTAGTCCAGGGCACACGTGAGGCACTGGGTCTGATCCGATCCCCTCAGCACCACATAAAAATAAAGGTACTGTGTTCATCTACTACAAAATACTTAAATACCTAAAAAAAAAAAAAAAAAAAAAAAAACAACAAAAAAACAGTCTGGCCAGGCACCGTGCCACACACCCGTAATCCCAGCAGCTCAAAAGGATCCCAAGTTCAAAGCCAGACTCAGCAAAAAGCGAGGCACTAAGCAACTAAGTGCCACTGAGTTCAATCCCCAATACCTCCCCCGCCAAAACCTGTTCTTTACTCTTATGAACTCAAGCAGATTTCCTCCCATAAAATTCAGAGCAAAAGGATCCAATAGATGTAATAAATACTGGTACCTAAAACCCAGYACTACATTAATTCCAACTTTTCTAACATCTATAGTGTTATTCCTCAATTTTATAATTTACCTTGATGTCTACAATATCACCCTTCTTGTAGATTCGCATATATGTGGCCAAAGGAACAACTCCTGCAAAAAAATTTCAGTAGTCAGTCTCAAGACAAGTCTAAAATAAAAATATCATACTATTTTTGAAAATTTCTCCTGAAAGCAAAAAATTAGTCTACTACAACCTTCTCTCCAAAGTTTTAATCCTGCATAGATATTTAGTTATGAAACTACATAAAATTCATACTTTTTATTTATCTATTTCAAAATATGCCAATTTWAAAAATATGCTATTTATGAACCACAACAAATACTAATAAAAATCCAAATGTATAAGCTTGGCTTCAAGTAAACAAACTTACCATGTTTTCTAAAAGGCCTGGAGAACATATATCGGGTTCCTCTCCTCTTTCCCTTTGTGTTCGTCATTTTGGCGAATTACTAAAAGAAGAAAGCATAAAATTAGTCAGATATTTGAAAATTAGCATTTCCCCTTTACCAACAAAAATCCTATAATTTCAAATTAGGGAACAGTCTAAAAAAAATCAGATGAACAATCACTACTTTTTTCCAACAGTTTATAAAAACATTAAAAGGTCTTGTACCTCCCTTTATCTGTACAATCCATGCTAGAAMGAATACCAAGAGCATTGGAAATTATTGTCTAAAGGATAATTTATTGGAGAACCCAATAAAACTAAACCATACATTTTTATACAGTAGATAAGATCCTTTTTCTTGTCCCTCTTTTTTTTTAAAAAGAATTTTAATATTTATTTTTTAGTTATCGGCGGACATAACACCATTGTTTGTATGTGGTGCTGAGGATCGAACCAGGGCYGCACGCATGCCAGGCGAGCGCGCTACCACTTGAGCCACATCCCCAGCCCTCTTGTCCCTCTTTTTAAAAACACTTTTATAATTCATCGAAGTAATGTGTACAGAGCACTAAGCAATTCTTAGAACAAGTACAGCATAACTGAACTGAAAGCTAATTTACCATCTAAAAATTCACCTGTAAACATTCAGATTTGAACCTTTCCTGGGCTCCCTCAAGGGCCAAAACACATTTTTGATCACTGGGTCATCCAGGGCAATAACCCCTACCCACAAGGCCAATTATAAAGGAAGACTTTAATTTGTTGACAGCAGTCTAAGAATGTATCAGTTTCTTAATATACACTCTTTAATCCTAAACAACTGTCAAAGCACCTTTTTTTATAAAAATTGTGTGGCAGAGCCCAAAATGTCTCACCTAACTTGCCAAACTACTGTTTTAATAGATGCATCCTTCAATTTTTACAAAAAGGCAACTAAGCAATTGTTATAATAATCAAATCTCTACATCTGTATAAACTTGTAAACTTGAATTAAGTTCATAAACTAGGGATGAACCTCTGTAGATAAAAGGACTGTGGAGCACAAAATCAGTAAGTTCTTCTCCTCTAAACTCATTTTCCTGGCATCCATTTTATGCCTAGACCTAACACACACAAAACTGAACCAGTTTTCCAAAACGATACCTTACCTATRCAAACCAATGATGCCTGAAGTCTACAATGGTATCAAATTTGCCAACTAGGATCGCTATGTRGGGTGAAGCCAGCAGTTTGTTAAATAATTATTAAAATTCACCCCTAAACGCCAATATCGGACATATTGCTGTTCTGGAATGCCTTCACTCAACACACATCTTCCCCTCTTGATATATGAGCACTGGTAAGGCAACCTTAACATATTTTCCCTTCATCCACTCGCAATCCCGAGTCAAAACTAAAAGCAATAGGCTATCAATTCACACACAATCCAAGAGTGATCTGAGACTCGTTAACCAGATTTGACTCGGCGGGCAGCCACTTCGTTATCCAACCACGAAGCCAGAAATTCAGACATTTAGGCTCACTGGAGATCAAATCTAAGACTTGTTTTAAACCCGTTCTTAAGACCCGGAAGTGCCTACCCGTCCACGTTACATTGAAAGGAATTAGAAAAGCATCAGGCCACGCGGCCCCGCACAGCCTACGAGGGCCCAGGACTCCGCGACCGAAGTCACAGAGATATGAGAGGCTGAATCCTTGCCAGATTAACTCACTTCGTCCCCAATGAGTCGGACTCGTCTTCCTAACCGTAGCAGCTCAGGGCCACGGCACCACAGGTCAGGTCCTCACCCCACTGCCCAGGCCCTAACACGGAGCATGCTGCTCCCGTTCTGGCAGGACACAGACCCAACCACCCAGGACAGTGGGCCCCAGATTGGGAAAACAGACTCTCTAGTATCCCAGCGCATTTCATCTGAGGCTGCAGAGTCACAATTCGAGCCTAAGGAACGCAGGGCCCCGGGAGCCACGCGCAGTCCMTACCTGAAAGATGGCGGTTCCGGCCGAAAAGAAGGAGGCGGTGTCGCTGCGCGCGCAACACTAGGGCCTGCGGGCTGCCCGCGGCGCTGCCTGAAGAAAAAGCCAGCCGAAAGAGGCTCTTCTAGGGAAGCGAATTGGCCCTGAGAACAAGGAGACTATGTGGGAATATTTTCTCCTTACACAAACAAGAGGCATTCAGTKAACACAAGCTGACACTTGTGTCGCGTTAGGCAGCCCGGAAAGGGGCCTTCAAGGGCGTCAARCAAGTCGCGTCGTCCCGAGCGTGCGGACGTCCGTCGCCGCGTCACGCTTGCGTCGGAAGGGAGCTGTGTGTCAGAATCTCCCGGGCTAGGCTGTGTCGAGRTTAGCGGCGTCAGAACCTTAAAAAGTGCTAGTAGTTGATGTTGGTTTGTTGCTGAAATGATTACGTGGACCCAAAACCCATTTTATAGTGAAGCAAAAATATTACCTGGCCGGGCGCAGTGGCGTACGGCTGTAATCCCAGCGTCTGGGGAGGCTGAGGCAGGAGGATCGTGAGTCCGATGACAACCTCAGCAATTTAGTGAGATCCTGTATCAAAATAAGAAAGAAAAARAACTGGGGATGTAGCTTARTGGTAAACCGGCTCTGGGTCCAATCGTAGTACTTAGAAACAAAAAGCTTCCTGGTTTATAAGTAAGTCTTTTCTAGAGTTGTTACTCCCTCTACATGTCTGAACGCACCTGCTGGTAGGTTAGAACCACTCTGAAAGCAATTATGCAAAATCTGTTAAAATTGAAGATTTTACAATTCTAAACCCTAGAATTCTACTCCTAAGTGTATGACTTATAGAAATTTTGATAGGTGGACAAAAGTGTAGTAACTATAGTGTAGATAGAAGCAAGAAATGCAGAACATCTATCAAAGAATGAATACACTGGATCACTAACAAGATGGAATGTTATATGCTAGTAAAAAAAGACTGAACTCTGAAACATGATGAGGCAAAAGAGGAAGCTGTAGAAATAAATAGTATGCCAACTTAATTTCAACAGTACTATATATTSCTTAGGGTAATAAAAAATGCAAGGAAATGAAAATCAAGTTTAGAAAAGTGGTCATATAGGGAGGGAACTACCAAAGGAGGCTGTAACAGTTTTGACCATTAAGCTGGGTTTTGGGTCAATGGGTGATTACCGTTTTCTTAATTAAACCTTATTAAAGTATGTATTATCATATTCTTATGGTTGTTTTAGATATGTAACAAAAAACTGAAAATATAATCCAGAGAATTGCCATGTGCCCTGCATCCAGTTTCCCCTTTTAGTAATATCTGGCATTATTATAGTACATTTGTAGGAATTAATAAACCAGTACTGAACACTGTTTTTAACTGAAGTTCGTAATTTATATTGTCTTAGGTTTTTAACCTAATATTCTCTTTTGTTTCTGTATAGTTATGTCTCCTTTTGTACCTTTGGCTATGGAAGTTCCTCAGACTTTCCTCATTTTTAATGACTTAAGACAGTTTTGAGAACTACTGGCCTAGTATTTTTATGGTATGCCCAATATTGGAATTTGCTGTTTTTCTCATGGTTTTATGTATGATGTTTAGGATGCATTTGTTAAAAAACGAGCCAAATAACATAAAAACCTTATCTGATTGAATATAAATAATATCCCATTGTTTTTGAAATTTTCATTTCTTTAACTCGTTCTCCCAATGCTTCTGAATTGTTTCTAAAAAAAACTKCATCAGCTCCAAACTTTGTCCATCAAACTTTAAAAAAAGTCATGAAATTATTGGTTTTGAACATCAAAATGTAGCTGGGGGATATAGCTCAGTGATAGAGCACATGTGAGGCCCTGGGTCCAATCTTTAGCACTGCCAAAAGAGAAAAAAAAAAGGCCAATTTCAGCAGTGTCATATGACTAAACCTAAAAATTAACATTATCATCTCTTTCCCATCTCCCTTTCTGTTTTCTATTTAATTTGACTTTCCCCCCAGTCACTACAAAAACTGCTCTTATCAAAGCAACAACAGTCTCTATGTTGCCCAAAGACATTTCTTGTTCTTATCTGTCTTGATTGCTCAGAAACATTGGACTCTATTGAGCACTTCTTGCTTCTTGAAACACTGCCCTTTCTGACGTCTCTAGTCTATTTTTACTGTTTTTCCTTCTCTCTTTCCTTTTGTGTGTTGGAACTAAATCCCCTGCTCTTCTCTTTCTGCATTATCTTCCTAGGTAATTCTGTTTTCTCCCATAATTTAAAATTTCTTCTCTATGCTGCTTATTACCAAATTTATTTCTTTAATTTGGGCATCTCCTCAACACTTAAGTTTAGTGACATCTATTCTTGGATAACACTTATCATTTAAAATTTAACATATCCAAAATAAAACTTCCTATTCCTACCCCAAGTCTGTTTTTGCTCCAATATTTTCCATGTCAGTAAAAGATATAAACTAGAAACCTTGTTTTCATTTCTAAATTGTCCCTTATCACCTCCAAATTGAATCCATCAGCAAGTTTTGTTCCAGTACCACCTGTAAAATATACCAGCAGTTGGCCTACCTCTTTGCATCTCTTGTCAATACCACTGGTATTTCATTCTGAACCACAGCAGTATGCATTTATGGTCACGCTTTTCTCTCGTCCTAGTTTTAGTCATTTTCTATACAGAYGCAATAGTCATATTTTAAAATAGTTTAAAGCCCTCCAAAGACTTTCTGTTGCCCTTACAATAAAAATATAAACTGCTTTCCTTGGTTTACACAATCCTTCATAAACTGGTTCTTGCCTCTCTCTTTAGGTTCACATGGTATCTCCCATTTTCTGCCTCATGAATTGAAATACCACTAACTTCTTCAATTTCATAATCATTTCAAGCTCTTTCTAGCCTTGGGATCTTTATGCATTCTCTTCCCTTTGCCCTTCAAATAGATCTATCTCATTGCTTTGCTTCCTAAAAGAAGTGATGCCTATGAGAAGAAAAATGAGTGGGAGTTAGATGAAAATTCAAACAACATTCCAAGTAGAGGCAACGTGGTATGCACAGGTAAGTTCAAGCAGTGTGGCATTGCTGGTGCAAGACAAAAAAACGATGAGAAGCTGGAAAAGTTGACTGTGAAGGTGCTTAATATAGTGCTGTTGAATCTTCCAGGATCCATGACAAGTTTTAACAAGACTTGATGATGATGGTAGAGGTGATAACTAATATTTACTTATTGTGTGCCTGTAAGTTTTTACAAATGTAAATCTCATTTAATCTTCACAACAATCCTACAAGGTAACTGGTGCCACCTGTTCCTATACCTTGGAAAGATTGTAAAAAGGATTGCTTTTCAGCTTTTTCCATTACTGATTTGGCATTCAACTTTCACAAATCAATAATTGATATTTGTCCTTCTTTTTTTAACATTAAAGTATCATTGCTGTCTTTTTTGCATTTTCCCCATAGATAAGCAGGCAGGCAGAGAGACAGACAGGGAGAGACAGACAGACAAACACACACGCACACACGAACACACACATACACGCACATACACACCTGTAATGGAGTTTCAAGAGAGAAGAAAATTAGATGAAGGCATTTAATCAGTCTGGAAATTTCTAAGGATGAATTATTTAGAAGCAGAATTTCTAATAATCAAGTTAACCCATTTATTGTCTTAACTGAATTGGCTGTTGAGAGTTCCAATACTAGATGAGGAGTTGGATTGAGAAGTGGACATTGTTGTTTTTCAGCTGTTCAGATTCATTCCCCCTTCCCAAGAGTCCCTCTGTTTACTTTGGGGAACTAATTCCTGTTGTATATGTATATGGGGATATGTATATATGCATGTATATATATATATATATATATATATATATATTTTTTTTTTAGGAAAATGTAATCCCCACCTACATCAAAACCAAAGGGACCAGAAGAGGAAGCTCTTCCCATACAGTCCTGAGGCAGACATTGACCTAACTCAAAAACAGCTGAAACTTGAATGTGTGTATGTTTCATCTTTAGGTTCTGGAATGAATGATGCAAGGACATAAGTAACATCTAGAGGCTGCTGATTGTGGCAGGGTTATACTTATCAGACTTCCTGTTACCAAAAGTCTTCAGTTCCTTTGGCCTGCTTCTGCTTATTATAAGCCCAGTTCTTGATTATTCATGAATTCTGAAGGTGCCTTTTTTTCCTTGAAGTACTCTAGATTGAACTCAGGGCTGTTCCTACCATGGAGCTACATCCCCATCCTTGTTATTTTTTTATTTTGAAACAGGGTCTTGCTGAGTTGCCAGAGCTGGCCTTGAATTTGCCATCCTCCTTCCTCAGCCTCCCTAGTCAGTGGGATTACAGGCATGCAATGCATTGCATGACTTTTGATTAAGTCAATCAGGGTAAGATATTGTTACTTGAAACAAATAATCTTCAATTATTTGGACTAGAAGATGGCCTTAACTCAAGACTCTGTAGTAACATTGCAGAATTTATCTACAGTGGGTGAAAAACTTTGAATAACCAGGAATTTAATACATGGTTTCAATTATTGAGCAAATCTAAATATTCATGATGAAAGTGTTTATTATTTTATTTTAATTAACATTTTTTTATCTTTGTTATTAGCAAGATTTTAATTCCCAAGCAGTTTTCTTCCTTTTAACATTTATCTCAGTTGATCTGAGCTATGTGTAACCAAAATGATATTACTGTTATCCTAAGAAAAGTACAATTAAGGGCCAGGCATGGTCGCACATGCCTATAATCCCAGAATTTTGGAAGGCTGAGGCAGGAGGATCAGAAGTTTAAAGCCAACCATTTAGTGAGGCCCTAAGCAACTCAAATAAAAAGTTATAAAAAGGGGCTCGGGATGTGGCTCAGTGGTAAAGCACTCCTGGGTTCTTTCCCTGGTACCAAAGAAACAAAGTACAAATAAGGAAATTAAAATGATAGTATACTAAAGATGAATTACAAGATTAAGTGTGTTCTTGCTGTGGTCCACTATCTTACACTTTGCACATTGCTCTTATAGTCTTAGTGTAAATATTTGTGTGTATATACATGTTCATCTGTGTGCACATGCATATATATGTACATATGTGTATGTATATACATATGTAGAGAGAGATTGATAGAGATTTTTTAAATAAGACACACAGATCCTAGGGTACGATTGGATGATTTTTGAATGATGTATGTAGCCTTATAACCAGTGCCCCTAGTCAAGATACATTGTTATCCTCCTGGAAAGTTCCCTGGTACTCCTTTCTAGTCAGTCTCTTCTCACTAGAACCATACAGTATTCTGGTTTCATTGACTGACTGATTGATTCTGGTGCTGGGGATCTGGTGGTAGGTGTTTTGTCACTGAGCTATACCTCCAGCCCCCCATATTCTGATTTCTATAGCCATAAGTTAGTTTTGCCTATTCTTGAATTTCATATAAATGCTACCGTACAATATGTCCTCTTTTCTCTGGCCGTTTTTGTTTGGCTTAATGGTTTTAAAATTTTATGTATTTATGTATAGTACTGTGACTTGAACCCAGGACATTACACATGCTAGGTAAGCACTAAGCTACATCCCCAATTTTTTTTCTTTTTGTGTGTGTGTGTGTGTGTGTGTGTGTGTGTGTGTGTGTGTGTATTATCAGGGATTGAACCCAGGGGCACTCTACATCCCCAGACATTTAAAACTTTTTTTTTTTAATATTTTTTTTATTTTTTAGTTCTCGGTGGACACAACATCTTTGTATGTGGTGCTGAGGATCGAACCCGGGCCGCACGCATGCCAGGCGAGCGCGCTACCGCTTGAGCCACATCCCCAGCCCCCCTTTTTTTTTTTTTTTTTTTTTAAATTTTGAAATGGTCTTGCTAAGATGCCAGTGTTGGACTCAAACTTGGAATCCTCCTGGCCCAGCTTCCTGAGTCAGCAAGATTATAGGTGCATACCACTGTTTCCAGCCCCAGTCCTTTGTTTTATTAATATTTTATTTTGAGACAAAGTCTCACTGAGTTAACCATGCTCGCCTTGTACTTGTGGTTCTCTGACCTCAGCCTCCTGAGTAGCTAGGATTACAAGTGTACACCATTGCATCCAGCTCTCATTTTATTTGTTTAGCATTTTTCTCTGAGGGAGATAAGGACTTTTACTTATGTTTTACTGAGGCAAGGTCTCACTATGTTGCCCAGGTTGACCTTGAGCTCCTAGGCTCAAGTGATCATCCTGTTTCAGCCTCCCCAGTAGCTGGACTGTAGCACACACCACTGTGTCCAGATAGGCATTTATTTTTATCACCTGCTTTTCTGTTTTTCTTCTCTATTATTCACAGTGCTGACAATCAAACCCAGGGCCTCATGCATACAAGTGCTGTATCACTGAATTACACCCTTCTGCTCTACAGGCTTTTAAAATAGCTGTGTCACTAGCTCCATTATACAGATCTTAAAATCAAAGTGGTTTCCTGAGTCTCTAATGGTCAATTTGTCTCAAGTTTGAGATCATTAATGTTCAGAGAATGAGAAAAGTATTGAAACTTTAAAAGAAATGTGAAATAAATTAAATGTAGAAAGTAGTAGAACTCAAAATTCATTTACTATTTATGAGAATCTAGATTAAATCAGGTACTGTACTAAGTGATGAGATGATAAACATGAATAAAACATGCTCCTTACCCTCAAGGAACCCACAGAGAGCCAGGTGGGGGAGAAAGGAGAGTTCATTACACCATCCTAAATGGCCTAATAGAAGATGCCCAAGTATGAATGGTTTAGGGGTTCTGTGGTGGCAACCTTTGCCTCTGGATTGAAGGAAAGTGGTCAGAAGAGAGAAAAACCCTGGGCAAAAGAGGAAGCATCAGAGAGGAGATCTAGCTTTTTGAAAGAACAGCACTTTGACCAGAAAAATGAAAAGTGAGAGTATTTTAGGCAGAGGGTATTTTAGGCAGAAGGAACAACTTATGTAAAGGCAGAAAGATGGATAACAACTTAAAGAACTCAGAGAAATTTAAGACCAATAGTTTTAGAAAAATAAGATCAACAAATAAGCAAGAATGTGACCTATAAAAATGAAGGAAATTTATTCTGTGTAATTTGAATTGTAATGCATTCTGCTGTCTATATAACAAATTCAAATTTTAAAAAATTGAAATGAAAGAAATTTATTTTGTACTGGACTCAAGTAAAAGACTAGATAAGACACAGCTTTTCATCATGAAACTAAACTCACCTCTATGTTACAGTGTTTTTATGTTTGTGTTTTCTCCTGTGAARGAATTTTAATAAAGTACATATGTTGTCTCTTTTTGGTTTTCAGAACACTTTGGCAGTTTAACTTCAAGAGGACAAATTTCCAAGCTCATGGTTCTGTCATCTCTGTGAAGCTCTAGTTAGGTGCCTGTTTGAGCATCTCACCTCTCATTTGTAGTTTACCCCTTGTCTGGTAGATTGACAGGAGAACAGTTTCAAACAAGAACTGATGGGGAGTTTCTAGTAAAGAAAGTATATAATGAGAATTCTTGTCTCTAGAAAAATGTCACTGTAATGACAGCTAAACTAATGAAAGATAGAAATATGAATAATTGAAAATATATCACTAAGAATAATTACATGAAATAGTTAATCTTTTTTTTTCCACCAAACTTTTAAGTTGAGATTCCAGAAAGAAGGAAAATGAACCAGATGAGATACAGTTTGGCAAAGATTGTACTCTTCTGAAATCTGATTCTCTATATGAACACAGGGAGGCACAACCAGGTCTGTAATCTATAATTGGGTATGCAATTATCTCATTATCTGCATCTGGATTTTTCTTTTCCTGAATCCTTTTTTTTTTTTTTTTTTTTTTGCAGTTCCTAAAACATTTTAACTGCCGTAAACTGTAAGGCAGGGACCATATGAGGCAGTGCTTACACAAAAATTATCAAATATGTTGAGACAGGAAATCCATAGAAGTGATAAGGAGAATTGAAAAAGCCATTGCCTTTATTTACAGTTCCTGGTTCTGCTTAGAGAGTAAAACACTGTTTAGAAACATGGAGACAAATATGTTAGAGATTTGACGTGGGTGGGAAGCACCTAGTAGACTTGTAATAACTTCAAGACTAGTTGGTCAGTAGCAGTCACCAGGGCTCACTTCTCATGATTATGTTGATTTTCCTAGGTTACACCAGCACCTGGAGCTATGTACCCATCTTCCTGGCAAAGTTACTCTTTTGTATTTTTGAAGAATAAAGGAAGAGGCTTACCCTCTGATTCCATACACATTTATTTCATGTTGACTGAGATGAGGACTGAGAAATTTCACTTCTGTTATCCCTGATTGATGAATGGATTGATTATGGCTAACTGGGCCTAAGTTGAAAAGTTTTGGAGGCTAATTAATTCCATTCTCACTGAAAATTAAACAYAATACCTAATGTGAGCTGACAGCAAGAAAAGCTTACCTTCACAGGTGATATTTTTGTCACCTCTGACTTAAACAACTGGTAGTAGAAATAATTTCACTCAAAGACTGAGCCTGCACAGAAATGAAAACAAGCTAGGAGATAGCAGAAAAAAACATTTATGGGTACTATAGAAGACAGGGGTTTCTCTATCCAAGGTAATAAAGGAGAAAGTAACTTCCACTGTGGGAAATAAAAAGTAATGAGTTTTGGAAACAGACATGGTCCCAAGTCTCTTCTGTCACTTCCTATAAGCTTATGTTTCTTAGTTTTTAAAACAAAAGCACTAATACATGTTTAAGAGGATCTTCTGTTTACAGTACTATGTAAAATAATGGATGTAAGACATCTTTTCCACTTTGTAGAATTTCTGGAACCTGGTAGATACAAAGCATATCAGGAAAATGTTCCTTGCTCTCTTTTACAGCTTTTCTTTTCCTAGTCTGCCTGTAGGACCCTGGATGTCTTTGAGACCCTTGTAAGGGATCTTTGAGTTCCAAACCTTTTTCATGGAACTGGGAGTGCAAGTCACTGATAGAGCACATGCTTAAAATGAAGGAGGCCCTGAGTTCTGTCCCAGTACGACATTCACACAATTTTCATGTTAAGACCTCATTTGCAACTGAAAAAAAATACCTCATTTGTCTCTATTTATGTATTTGTTTATTTGTTTATTTGAACCCTGGGGCACTTAACTGCTGAGCCATATCCCTACCCCTTTTTAAAATTTTTTACTTAGAGATAGGATCTCACTGAGTTGCTTAGGGCCCCATCAAGTTTCTAAGGCTGGCTTTGAACTTTCAATCCTCCTGTCTCAGCCTCCTGAGCYGCTGGGATTCCAGGCATGTACCACTGTGCTTGGCTCTCATTTGCCTTTAATTTTCATCCTTGAGTACACATTGCTTTTATGTAGAGTGTGTGACAAAATGGGGAATATATATAAAGCATAGTGCTACCTAACCAGAATGACAATTCCTGGGAAAAGCACTTTACTTTTGAGTTGAAAGCTTAACTAACCCCTATGTTATTCTACTGGACATTTTTTTCCTTGAAAGAGCAAACTATTTAGTTATTCAGACCTGGGTACAGGTTTTGGTAGGTATTTCTGGAGGAAAAAAAAAAAACCTAACAAAACTGCTCCTTCCATGAAAACAACTGATAGTGTTTTCCACCAATGAAAATTGGAGCCTCTAATTGAAAATTAAATTTTTGGAAAACTTGTATTCACCACTTGGTAGCTCCCCAAAACTTTTCCGATGAGCTCAGATGATATTAACAAATGTGGTTTGTTTTATATTGAATAAAGAAATGTGTCAGCATTTGGAAGATTTATATAACTAAGTAAACCATATTTTCCAAGTGACCAACTTGCAACATTACAAAATAATGAGTGGGAAAAGACTCATTTGAAGTGTAAGATAAACCAATAGAGTTCAGTATTACAGAGTATGAAAACTTCATTGTTAGACCTTCAGATTTCACATCACAACCTACCTTTTAAAGATATGTCACTGGAGTCTTGGGACAGTATTAAATAACCACATCATCTGAAAAGGTTTTAAAATACTTCTCCCTTTTATAACATGTCCATGAGGTTGAATTTTCTTCATAGATTTCATTCAACCTAAAGCATATGGCAGTAAGTTTGGTACAGACGCAGGCATGAGTACCCAGCTGTCTTTAGTTAGCTAGACTTGAAGGACTTCGGGGAAAATGTAAAACAACACCACACTTCCTAGAGTTTTTTTGGAAGATATAGTTATTTGTCATATAATATGTTAATGAGAGGGTTTTATTAGTTTTATATAAATTTTTTTCTATTGGTACCAGGGATTGAACCCAGGGGTCCTTAACCACTGAACTATATCCCCAGCCCTTTTATCTTTTTCAGTCAGAATAGTTATATAAATATTTATTTCGAAAGTAGTACTTAAGAAAAAACGATGTGATTTAGATTAAAAGCTCCAAGATGTATTGTTTCAGGTAGGTGTTATTACTATCTATATATTCACTACATTTATTAAGCCAAAAACTTGAGGAAACTTCAAGTTCATAAGTCAATGATGTGTAAAAACCCAACCAGGATGGACAATGTGTGTTCCAATTTAGAAGGGGACAACTCAGCTCCTTGGTGATGTCTCAGGGAGCTCTTATGCTCTACCGAACATAAGGCTTTCTTCCTATAAACCTGAATGTGACCTTCTAGAGTCTCTGGTTGTAGCTTCTTTAGTCTCCTGCTTCGAATGGTGTGCTGCTTTCTTGCCTACAAGGTGAGTCAAKCTTCCAGGTTCACTCTTATAGGCCTCTGTTATCTACAAGTGATGCTCAGGAGAGTCAACCAATCCTGAAGGTGGGGAAAGCTGTTTAAAGGAGTCCCCATTCCCTTACTTGTACTGAGGAAACTGTTTTCACTTTAAGGATGGTAAGTCTTAAAAGATTGTGGCCAAGAAGATGTCTATAGTGACTTCTGAGAATTTTATCCCCAACAGGCAGCCGRCTGGCTACTTGTCTTTTATTACATTTCTAACAGTTGCTCCATTTCCTCCAGATCCAGCCCTCTTTTGTGTTTTATTTACAGACAGGGTCTCTCTGAGTTGCTAAGTGCCTCATTAAATTGCTGAGGCTGGCTTTGAACTCAGAGTCTYCCAAGTCTCTGGGATTACAGGCATGTGCCACCACACCCAGTGCATGAGTATTTCTAAAAGCCCTTCATTTTAATTTTAAATACAATAAATATTGATAGATAAGCCCATATAAACAAAAATTCTTACTGGTTATCAATAATTTTTAAGAGCTAAAGGGGTCCCAAGACTAAAAAGCTGAAAAGACTGCCCTGGTCTACATTCTGTGCCACTACTATGTTACTTGACTCTCCTAGAGCAAAGCCAGGGGTGCCATCGGTTATTCCTGAGATGTTCTCTGCCCGCCCCCCTTTTTTAAGAAAACTTTTGACTAATTTACTATTTGGATGAGTCCTTGACCAAAATACCATGTTCCCATAGTGATCTTGGCTTTTGCAAAATTTTCTTTTTTTTTTTTTTTAAGAGTGAGAGAGGAGAGAGAGAGAGAGAAAGAATTTTTGATATTTATTTTTTAGTTCTTGGCGGACACAACATCTTTGTTGGTATGTGGTGCTGAGGATCAAACCCGGGCCGCACGCATGCCAGGCGAGTGCGCTACCACTTGAGCCACATCCCCAGCCCTTTGCAAAATTTTCTATGAATATGGGCTCAGGATTATTTCCATTTTCCTTTGTGAATTCAGGATAAGTCATACTATAACTTTGCTGGATTACCTCAGGATTAAGGTTTTGAATTTTCTCCTTTGATTTGTCCTGTTATTATTGCTAATTTTTCTTCAATATTATTCTGTCAGGTTCTGAGATTTTTAGTAAAACTGCTTATAAACCAACCAGGTCAAATTTTATGGGGAATCAGATAAGGAACTAGCATTTATCAATGCTTGTTAAAATTTATCTCAGGTGCAGTTTTTAAATAAGATTCACAAAAAGTGTCCTCAAAATAGTCAAATGAAATAGGTGAGCAATTAAGCTTCTATCTGAGTATATTATAAAATTTCTGCTGACTGGTCCTGTATCTTGTCTCTACCTCTGAGCTATCATTCAGGTATTTGGCTATACTCCATAGAATAATAACAATCTGTAGTTGAAATAGTTGGACTATAGTACTTGCTGATAAAAGACTAAAACCATTTTAGCCATTAGGAAAGTTACTCTGGCTGAAGTTCATATTGCCAGAATTTTTTAAAATAGATCTTTTTGGGGAAACTTGACAATAAACATTATAATGAATCATAATGACATCAAAATATTTCTGCAAAATATTTGATATAAAATGCTTTTAAAAATTTTAGCACCTGGCTTGGTGGCGCATGTCTATAATCATAGCAGTTTAAGAGGCTGAGACAGAAGGATCGTGATTTCAAAGCTAGCCTCAGCAGTGGCGAGTTGCTAATCAACTCAGTGAGACCCTGTCTCTAAATGAAATACAAAGTAGGGCTGGGGATGTGGCTCAGTGGTTGAGTGTCCCTGAGTTCAATCCTTGGTACCAAAAAAAAAAAAAAAAAAAAAAAAGTTTTAACACTGGGATTTGTAGCTGATACATAAAATGTAATGTGAAGAACATGTGTTAGATATTAATGCTGCTAATTTGTACTATGCTTCCAAATTCTATAGATGCAACTCTACTGCCAACTGTTCTCTTCAAACTGGTTTTCAAATATTTTTGGTGCTTCAAATTTAGTTTCTTTACTATCTAAAACTGATTCATGTGCATGAGATTGTCAAGGTTTAATTAAAATTGATAGAATTTTATTGTAGTTATCTTGAAGATGCTTGAAACTGGGAAGGAAATGATAGGAAACTTCTGGGGCTGTGGTTAGATTACTTTGGCAAAGTGAATTTCAAAAAATTATATGGCAGGTTTCATAAGGATAGGAATTCTGTCATAGGCTTAGCACTTATTGATCAGCTAATATGTGACAATCAGTGATCTAGTGCTGGAAATACACAGGGAAAAATATCACTGTATTCTTGAAGTTTATGTTCTAGTGAGGAAAGACAGATAATAAATATAGTAATAGGCAGGGTGTGGTAGATCACACCTGTAATTCCAGCTACTCAGGATGCTGAGGCAGGAAGATCAAAAGTTCAAGGCTAGCACTGACAACTTGGTGAGACCTTGTCTCAAAATAAAAACTAAAAAGGGCCCRGGATGTAATTCAGTGGTAGAGTGCCCTTGGATTCAATCCCTGGTACCACAAACAACAACAACAACAAAATTAAATGGGCAAAAGACTTTTATAAAAGATATACAAATGGCCAGTGAATACATGAAAAGATGCCTAACTTTATGAATAACTGAGGAAAAAGTCAAAACCACAGTAAGATACCACTTTAGCAATAGTGACATTATGTCAAAAAGACAACAATAAATGTTTGCMAGGGTATAGAGAAAATGGAGCCCTCATATGCTGCTGGAGAGAATGTAAAATCACGCAGCCAATTTGGAAAATGCTTTGGCAATTTGTGAAAAGGTTAAATGGTAGCTAACATATGACTTAGCAATCTCACTCCTAGATAAGGTTTTCTGTTTTTGTTTTTTAACTAGGGATTGAACCCAAGGGCACTCTATCACTGAAGTACAGCTACATCCCTTTTTATTTTTTATTTTTTGAAAAAAAAATATATATATATATATA